TTAAATAGTTTCAGTTTTCATTTCCTATGCAAATTTGTTAAATTATTATGCATAATTCATTAATGCAAATAAAATCGATTTGTGATAAAACTGAGAAAAATCATTCATTTTGTCATTATTCCAAATTGAGGATTGGTAGCGTGCATACTGTTTAAGGAAGTTAGGATTTCACTTAAATTTAAATTTACTATTCAAATACACTTCTTTGCTGATGGTTTGTAATAAACTTTCTGCTAGAATTTGAAATTTTCATTTTTCCCTCCTAGAAAGTTTTTAGTTGTTACTAATATTACTGCTGTTCCATTCAGTCAGGTCATAGCGAAAAAACTTAAAAAAAAGGTTGATCTAGAGGAAATCATGCAATTAGGTTAATTTAGATTAAAATTTAGTACTTCTTTAGGGAATCAAAAATTGTGACTTTTTGTTCTGTTTCAGATGAAACCAGAGACGACTACAGAGAGACATTTCGATGTCAGTAAGGATCAGAAAGTACTGGAATTACAGAGAAGAATTTGCAGTCGAGTAAGTATCGTATTCAATTTATTACTTAATATCTGTTGATAATGTAAGTTTACCAGTGAATCTTTTATGCTTTTTTGCAATTTATAAAATTCAAGATTGTAAGATAAAACAAATGAGAATTTTCTTTAACAAATCAAAAAATAATAAGTTTGTCTCAAAAAATTTGATAAAAAAATTTAGTATGCTACTTGCAGTGAAGTGAGTAAAGCGCATTCGCTTCGATAGATCCTTTCACTTAGCTTTATTCCTAGGGATGAATTTTAGGAAATATTACACAATAAATTGATCATTTCAGACAAACACCAATAAAGAGATGACACAGCAATATTTGGAAGGAAGGTAAATTACTGTTTTATGTTTTCGTTCTTTCTCTGTTTGGAAACTTTCGCATTTTCATTCATACTCCTATATCACTTTTTTGTTATTTAAAATATTAATTTTCTAATGTTTTATTTAATATTTTTACTCTAGCTAATGTTTGGTTTGTATTCATGGTCTTCAGATGCTAGTGCGTTTTTGTATTCCTGAATGCCTGAAGCACTTGCAGGCTTGTTAAATGTTGTTTAGGAAAATGACTTTCTCCATTTACTATGAAATGCTTTCATATTATGCTTTCACCTATTCCATTTTCTCGTGCATCATTCTTGTGTGGTTCAAAATTTCTAAAAATGATACATTTACAGGGAAGTTGCTCTGGAGAATCAGCTGTTATTATATAAAATGGATGAGAAAGGAACTGGTTGTGAGTCAGCGCAGAATAAACAAATTAAAGTGAATGTTGGATGTGGAGTTGCAAATAAAAGAGAAGGATGGAAGGCGGATGAGTCACTGAAAATTTTGGAAGACAATGTAATTAATTTAATCGAAGCTGAGGTTCGTTACTATGCTTCATATTTTTAATAAGCTATGCATTTGAATTTTAAGCGCTTGAGCACATTATTACTTTGACATTTTACTGATAGCATATGATTTATACAGTTATCTGGAAGGAAATAAATATGACACAGTAACACCGCTGCATAACTTAATTTCTATTAGGTGCTGTTATGTAAGCAGTTATGCAAATATTATTTGTATTTAATTATTAACAAAGTTGAGATTCTTGATCTTGGAACTTTTGTTTATCTTTAATATGTTTTTTTTTTTTTTTTTTTTTTTTAAAGATAATCAAAGGGATTTTTTCTTCTTCCATGCAAATATCAAATTAACAATTTTCTCAAATTTTTAACTTTCAGATCATGTCAATGGGAACGGATATTCAGTGGACGGATATATGTGGTTTGGAGCCGGCAAAAAAAGCACTTAGAGAAATTATCGTTCTTCCGTTTCTCAGACCGTATGATTTTATGTATCTAACATTTATTTATACAGTCAGTGCAGTGTCAGTGCAGATATTTTTATAAATTACTTACTATATGTGAATATCGAAACAAAGTATGGTTATTTCTCCACGAAATAATAGTATTAATTTTTGTAATGTTTATTTACATTCAGTTAATAATGATATTAAGAAATGCTTGGATAATGTTCACATATCAAAATTAAATTTGAAAAAAAGTTAAAGTATTATATGTTGAAGCGCTTCGATGAAATCGAATATTCATATATAAAATTATCAGAAAATGACAGAAAATATAAAATTTTCGTATCGTTTCTTATCGATTGTTTGTTCTATTTTCTCTACATCCCATCTCTATAATGTGTACGATTTCAGTGACATTTTCAAGGGTATACGTGCACCACCTAAAGGTGTGTTGCTTTTCGGACCACCTGGTACTGGCAAAACCATGATTGGTTAGTATATATTGTTACTAGTTAAAGGTTTAAATATTTTTTATGAATTTGTATGAATAATATCTTGAGTTCTATGAAAATACTATTGCAGGACGATGTGTTGCATCGCAATGTAAAGCAACATTTTTCAATATAGCCGCATCGTCTATTACGTCAAAATGGGTTGGTGAAGGTGAAAAACTTGTTAGGGCTCTTTTTGCGATAGCACGGGTTTTACAGCCTTCTGTGATTTTCATTGATGAAGTGAGCTGAGTTTTACTTTACCTTGTTCCAAAGAACATAATTAGCGGCCAAAAATTTCCAATAAAATCTAGATTTCACATCATTTTATTGCTAACTTTTTTTTATTGCTATGCTATAAATGAGCGTAAATTTTCAAAAACTTCGAAATAGTATTTTTTCTTTACACTACATCGTTTATTTATTTGTTTTCATAAAAGACGGTTTATTTGAAGATGTTAGATACGAGCATTCTCTTATACTTTCCATATTGTGCATCCTAGTTGTTGAAGCTCGTCGATCTATACTGAATAATATTAAAAGTGTAAAGTCATTAATTAATTCAGTTATTACTAACTGTAATTTCAGATTGATTTTTGCTTAAAAGTGGCAATGAGAGTGAGCATGAGTCATCAAGACGAATAAAGACTGAATTTCTTATCCATTTGGATGGTGTTGCAACTACCTTTGATGAAAGAATCCTTATTTTAGGAGCTACAAACAGGTACAACTTTCTATTATTTTACATTCCTTTTTTTTTTTTTCATTGATTTTTTCTTCAGATGAATTTTTCATTCATTATTAAAAATACGTTATTTCGAATTCATTTTTCTGTTGTTCGCTTTTGAGGAAGTGTTTGAATTGACTAGAGAAGATAAAGCTACATTGTGTGAATTATTTCCATTTTCATTTTTACTTATATTTCATTATTTTTCTTTTTAAGACCTGAGGAATTGGATTCAGCTGTTAAACATCATTTTGCGAAACGTCTGTACATTGGTTTACCATCTGATGCTGCAAGAGCACAAATGATTCTCTTACTTCTCAGCGATCAAGAACATAATCTTTCGGATAGCGATGTACAGTCCATAGCGAAATTAACAGGCGGTGAGTGTGGCAAAATTTATTATAATTAAGTGATTATTCATTGAAAAAGTATTTAATTCTTTTATTATTACAGGTGAAATGAATTTCATTACCGTGAATGTTACAGGCTATTCTGGAGCAGATATAAAACAACTGTGCTCCGAAGCAGCAATGATTCCAGTTCGTAATATTGTTGATTCATCCTCACTTGATCTTGTTTCTATCAGCGCTGAAGAGGTTAGTTTTCATAAATTTTCTCAAGAATTTTCTCTGAAAGATGAAATTGTGCATTAGAAATGAAATGAAATAAAAAAAGAGCACTTGATTTCGGAATGTTATCGATTTCTTTGAATAGTTCTTACCACGAAAAATATTATTAACCCAGTGAATCCAGTTTTTCATTAATTTTCATTATTAGTAATCCTTGCTATCTTTGTTTTTTTTTTCTTCTTTTCGTCAAGATAAAAATAATGCTTGTTCAGATCCGTCCAATCTGTTTTTCGGATTTCGAAGTAGCAATGCGTTCTGTTCGCCCAACGGTTGTTGCAGAGGATTTAGAAGGGTATCAGGCATGGAACAAACAATATGGCTCTTTTGTTTCGGAATAAAACGTTTTGAATGATGTTTTGAATGAGAGTCGTAGAAAATTGGTGCCATTATTTTAGGATTCATCTATACTTCCAAGAGTTATGGTTATATCCTTTCTGATGAAATTTTTTTGTGAGTATAAACTTCTATGTGAGTATAAACTTCTGCTGTATTTCTGTTCACTGTTATGTTTTTGATAAAGAGTTCTGCTATTATCCATTTCCGTTTCCATACTATATGTGGTATGCTGACCTTTGCGTTTATATTCAGCAGTTTTAAGAACTTTTCGAGTTTAATAAAACTTTTCTTTTTTTGGCCTTGATTTTGAATAAAGAATTTGTTGTACAGTTAACCTAGCCAGTTGATTACTTTTCCAGTTTCAAATTGCTATTCTTATAGTCCAAAACATATATATATATAGTGAAAGTATTACTGAATACTGCATATAAAGTTGTAAAAATACGCGACAGGAGATGCATATATGCTACTTTAAGCATTACATATGTCACAAATTAATTAGTCATTCTAGATACTTTTAAAATTGTGGTTATAGTAGATTAGTTTTTAGACATAATTATGTTTTGCATTTGAAGTTGGGATTGTCAGAATTAAATTATGGTGGAGCAAAACGAATGAGAAAATTATCGGTCGCAGGTTTGTGTACAATTTTTTTTCAATTAATTTTTTTTTTGCTAAAGCTCAAGTGTCGATCGATTGTGATCCTTAAGTTTATTATCTTAGCACTAAGGTAAAAATAATGAGTAGAATGTTCATTCAGATGGATTATAAATGAATTTGTTTCATGCATTTACATACAGTTAACATTCTTTAAGTGAATATTTGTGTATGGAATGATTCAAAAGATTAATTGCACTGGACCAAATGTTATTAGATTAATATTACTTAAAATCCTGAAAAGCAATTTCACTATAAAATTCTTACTTTTTCAGCTTAAAGAAATTGATGCAGAGCTTGAAACATGTGCAGATCTTCAGAGAAGAAATACTCTGATGGATTCACATTCTGACTTAGTAGAACTTATTGCACTTTTGACTGGTAATAAGATTTCAGCTTTGATATAAAATGAATTTCACATTTTTTTTTTTATCTAAAGACTTACCATTAATCAGTGCAATAAGTTTTTAGCATTTAATGCATACATAAATCTTGCTAAAATTCTGGATATTAATGAAGAAATTGTACTGTTTATTCCATTATAGTTAATTAAGTAGTAATGATATAGTTAAGTAATAATGATTTTATTGATTAAAGAAAAAAAGCTTTGACTAAAGTTTGAATTATTTAATTTTTCGAAACTAAGTGTGATTTTTAATACATTATGTATATTTTTGAAATTTTAGAAAATTTATTCTATATCGTTTTGTAAGCATTGTTAATTTTATTGCAGAAAATGAAACAACTTCGGTGACGGGACAAGATTTTAATGAAACTCATACGAGCAGTGACGTGCAAGATTCTAGTCAATTAATTGAAATGCACTGTCTTGCACTGTACAATCGAACTATTGATCGTGCGGTGCATTTCCACGACGCTGTCATTTTAGATTTTGTTGAAGATTCAAGTGAAGAAGATGACCTCAAGGTATGTTAGGCTAACTAATTTTTGTAACTTTTTTTTTACAATGAAACCTGATGTAGAACGTTGAAAATTGGTTACATGAATAAATTTTTTTATTGATAAAGTGAAACTCCAAAATTTTTAGACAGTATTTTAGATGATTATAGGTCAAAGTATTATATGGTCATCCTCCAGAAGCAGCAATGAGACCTTGCGAATATTTTCTTAATGATCGTTGTAATGTCACTTTTCGCATGGTGAAGAAGTTTCGTTTTCAGCCCTTTGAGAATATGCATCTTGCCGTGTATTATTAGCATTGATGAATTGCTTACAAAATAAAGATTTAATTATTACCTCTTTCGATCAAAAAAAAAAAAAAAGTACTTTTTATTTAGAATGGTAAGAGAAAACTCACTTGTACTTGTATTGGGTGAAAATAAATTATGGAGTAGTGCTCGAGTTACTGTAATGGATGGTGAGAAATTGGCAGTTCTTACCGGTTATTGCTTACCGGGAAAGGAATTGCTGTGAATCCTAATAAGATTTATCCAATCCCGGAACTAGCTAATGACGACGAAGGTTTTTGTTAAGCTCAAATTTTTTCTTTTGAAATTATATTTTTTAAAATTCTAAAACAATTGAAGTTTCTTTCTGTTCAAATGAAATATAAATTTGATGCATCTTCTTTAGCTACTCAGTTAAGCAATTATTTTGTGAAGTAGGCTTAAAATGCTAGTCTTATAATCATTTCAAATGATATTGTCTTGTTTCTTTAGTTATTTCAATATTTAGCCAATTTGATTATTGTTTTCCAGACAAAATCAATCTCTGTAATCAATAAGCTTTTTTTAATGGGATATAAATTTGAACTGGAACTACATATGCTTTAGATGAAGCTGCTACGAATGATTTAGCAACAACTTCATGAAAAGAATATAAGCAGGAAAGGCGTGGAAATGTCACTATCGGCGAATCGGTGATTGAGAGAAGCATACACGTGGTATCGGTATCGGGATGAAGCTATTGCTGAAAATGGGTTATCGGGCTGGCGAAAGACTTGGTAGAAAATCTGATGGTATCGTACATGTCATACAAACAGTGATCTTCCCCAAAAATATGTGAAATTTCACTTTTCTCAGTTTTCTTCTAGTGTTCTTGTTATATCTGTAGAGAAATGGTATGAGTTAATGATGTAGTCAAAATATCTTCTAATGATATTGTTATATCAGTAGAGTAATGGTATGAGTTAATGAATTAATCAAAATGTCTTCTACTGATATTTTTATATCTGCAGAGAAGTGGCATGAATTAACCAAAATATCTTCTTCTAGTGATATTGTTATATCTGTAGAGAAATGGTATGAGTTAATGATGTAATCAAAATATCTTCTAATGATATTGTTATATCAGTAGAGAAATGGTATGAGTTAATGAATTAATCAAAATGTCTTCTACTGATATTTTTATATCTGCAGAGAAGTGGCATGAATTAACCAAAATATCTTCTTGTGATATTGTTATATCTGTGGAGAAATGGTATGAGTTAATGAAGTAATCAAAATTTCTTCTAGTGATCTTGTTATATCTGCAGAGAAATGGTATGAGTTAATGATGTAATCAAAATATCTTCTAATAATATCTTCTAAAAAAAAAAAAAAAAATATAACAGTGATCTTCCCCAAAAATATGTGAAATTTCACTTTTCTCAAATTTCTTCTAGTGTTCTTGTTATATCTGTGGAGAAATGGATGAGTTAATGAATTAATGAAAATGACTTCTACTGATATTGTCATAAATGCAGAGAAATGGTATGAGCTAATGAATTAATCAAAATTTCTTCTAGTGATATTGTTATATCTGTGGAGAAATGGTATGAGTTAATGAATTAATGAGAATGACTTCTACTGATATTGTCATATCTGCAGAGAAATGGTATGAGTTAATGAATTAATCAAAATTTCTTCTGGTTATCTTGTTATATCTGCAGAGAAATGGTATGAGTTAATGAATTAATGAGGATGACCTCTACTGATATTGTTATATCTGTGGAGAGATGGATGAGTTAATGAATTAATGAAAATGACTTCTACTGATATTGTCATAAATGCAGAGAAATGGTACGAGTTGATGAAGTAATCAAAATGTCTTCTACTGATATTTTTATATCTGCAGAGAAGTGGCATGAATTAACCAAAATATCTTCTTGTGATATTGTTATATCTGTGGAGAAATGGTATGAATTAATCAAAATATCTTCTTGTGATATTGTTATATCTGCAGAGAAATGGTATAAGTTGAAGAAGTAATTAAATATCTTCTAATGACATTGTTATATCAGTAGAGTAATGGTATGAGTTAATGAATTATTCAAAATGTCTTCTAGTGATATTGTTATATCAGCAGAAAAGTGGCATGAATTAATCAAAATGTCTTCTAGCGATATTGTTATATCTGTGGAGAAATGGTATGAATTAATCAAAATATCTTCTTGTGATATTGTTATATCAGCAGAAAAGTGGCATGAGTTAACCAAAATATCTTCTTGTGATATTGTTATATCTGCAGAGAAATGGTATAAGTTGATGAAGTAATCAAAATTTCTTCTAGTGTTCTTGTTATATCTGTAGAGAAATGGTATGAGTTAATGATTTAGTCAAAATTTCTTTAATGACATTGTTATATCAGTAGAGTAATCGTATGAGTTAATGAATTAATCAAAATATCTTCTGCTGATATTTTTATATCTGCAGAGAAGTGGCATGAATTAATCAAAATATCTTCTTGTGATATTGTTATATCTGTGGAGAAATGGTATGAGTTAATGAATTAATCAAAATGTCTTCTAGTGATATTGTTATATCTGTGGAGAAATGGTATGAGTTAATGAATTAATGAGAATGACTTCTACTGATATTGTCATATCTGCAGAGAAATGGTACGAGCTAATGAAGTAATCAAAATTTCTTCTAGTGTTCTTGTTATATCTGTAGAGAAATGGTATGAGTTAATGAATTAACCAAAATATCTTCTTGTGATATTGTTATATCTGTGGAGAAATGGTATAAGTTAATGAAGTAATCAAAATTTCTTCTGGTTATCTTGTTATATCTGCAGAGAAATGGTATGAGTTAATGATTTAGTCAAAATATCTTCTAATAATATCTTCTAAAAAAAAAAAAAAAAAATATAACAGTGATCTTCCCCAAAAATATGTGAAATTTCACTTTTCTCAGTTTTCTTCTAGTGATATTGTTATATCTGTGGAGAAATGGATGAGTTAATGAATTAATGAAAATGACTTCTACTGATATTGTCATAAATGCAGAGAAATGGTGCGAGCTAATGAAGTAATCAAAATTTCTTCTAGTGATATTGTTATATCTGTGGAGAAATGGTATGAGTTAATGAATTAATGAAAATGACTTCTACTGATATTGTTATATCTGCAGAGAAATGGTATAAGTTGATGAAGTAATCAAAATTTCTTCTGGTTGATATTGTTATATCTGCAGAGAAATGGTATGAGTTAATGAATTAATCAAAATGACCTCTACTGATATTGTTATATCTGTGAGAAATGGATGAGTTAATGAATTAATGAAAATGACTTCTACTGATATTGTCATAAATGCAGAGAAATGGTATGAGTTGATGAAGTAATCAAAATGTCTTCTACTGATATTTTTATATCTGCAGAGAAGTGGCATGAATTAACCAAAATATCTTCTTGTGATATTGTTATATCTGTGGAGAAATGGTATGAATTAATCAAAATATCTTCTTGTGATATTGTTATATCTGCAGAGAAGTGGTATAAGTTGATGAAGTAATTAAATATCTTCTAATGACATTGTTATATCAGAGAAATGGTATGAGTTAATGAATTCAAAATTCTAGTGATATTGTTATATCAGCAGAAAGTGGCATGAATTAATCAAAATGTCTTCTAGCGATATTGTTATATCTGTGGAGAAATGGTATGAATTAATCAAAATATCTTCTTGTGATATCTTCTTGTGTTATATCTGCAGAGAAATGGTATAAGTTGATGAAGTAATCAAAATTTCTTCTAGTGTTCTTGTTATATCTGTAGAGAAATGGTATGAGTTAATGATTTAGTCAAAATTTCTTTAATGATATTGTTATATCAGTAGAGAAATGGTATGAGTTAATGAATTAATCAAAATATCTTCTGCTGATATTTTTATATCTGCAGAGAAGTGGCATGAATTAATCAAAATATCTTCTTGTGATATTGTTATATCTGTGGAGAAATGGTATGAGTTAATGAATTAATCAAAATGTCTTCTAGTGATATTGTTATATCTGTGGAGAAAGGTATGAAATGAATAATGAGAATGACTTCTACTGATATTGTCATATCTGCAGAGAAATGGTATGAGTTGATGAAGTAATCAAAATTTCTTCTAGTGTTCTTGTTATATCTGTAGAGAAATGGTATGAGTTAATGAATTAACCAAAATATCTTCTTGTGATATTGTTATATCTGTGGAGAAATGGTATGAGTTAATGAATTAATCAAAATGTCTTCTACTGATATTTTTATATCTGCAGAGAAGAGGCATGAATTAATCAAAATATCTTCTTGTGATATTGTTATATCAGCAGAAAAGTGGCATGAATTAACCAAAACATCTTCTGTGATTGTTATATCTGTGGAGAAAGTTAATGAATTAATCAAAATATCTTCTTGTGATATTGTTATATCTGTAAAGAAATGGTATGAGTTAATGAATTAATCATGGTGTCTTCTACTGATATTGTTATATCTACAGAGAAATGGTATGAGTTAATGAATTAATGATGACCTCTACTGATATTCATATCTGCAGAGAAATGGTAGAAGTTGATGAAGTAATCAAAATTTCTTCTGGTTATCTTGTTATATCTGCAGAGAAATGGTATGAGTTAATGAATTAATGAGGATGACCTCTACTGATATTGTTATATCTGTGGAGAAATGGATGAGTAATGAATTAATCAAAATGTCTTCTAGTGATATTATCTACAGAGAATGGTATGAGTTAATGAATTAATGAGATGATTTCTACTGATATTGTTATATCTGTGAGAAATGAGAAATGAATTAATCAAATATCTCTACTGATATTGTCATATCTGCAGAGAAATGGTATGAGCTAATGAAGTAATCAAAATTTCTTCTAGTGTTCTTGTTATATCTGTAGAGAAATGGTATGAGTTAATGATTTAGTCAAAATTTCTTTAATGATATTGTTATATCAGTAGAATGTAGAGTTAATGAATTAATCAAAATATCTTCTGCTGATATTTT